ATGCGCTTTCCAATTCTTCGAATGATTGGAGGCGCCGCCACCGCCAGCCAGCCAGCAGCCGTGCCAACGCCGATAGGCAAGCCTGAGGCTCGGCCAAAGCCATCGGGCGCCTCGACTTGGGCGCCAAGGCCCCCGCTGCAGCGCCAGCTGCCAAGCAGGCAGCCCACGCGCCGAACTCGAAACGATGCGCATAATGCCCGGCGCCGCCGCGGCAACCGCAGCCGCCCGGGCCCGCGACGCATCGCGGTCTCGAACAAATGCGCCGACCCAGCGGCCGTGCATGAATCGGATTCCTGCCCCGCCTGCATCCGTGACCCGCCGCGCGAACGAGCTCGCCCCGACGCGGGCAGGCGCGCGGGGGAATGCCGCTGGTTCGACGAAGCCACCAGAGCATCGCCTGCGCGCCGCGCGCGGCTACGCGGGGCTTTGTCCCGCGAGGCTCGAGCGCGGCATGCCGGCGACCCCGCAGCGCGCGCCCCTGGGCCCCGGGTGAGTCCCGACCGACGGGGCCCCGCCAGATCGGGGCCCGATCGACGACCCAGCACTGCCAGCACCACTGCGCGACGATCTTTTCGACGGCTGCGCCGCCAAATCCCGTTGCTCTGCGCCCCCCTGGAGCACCTCAACCGACACCGCGGGTCGCGGGCGCAGATGGACAGGCACCGGGGGACTGGGCGAGTCTCGACGCGACGCATTGCCCACGCATGCCACGCACAGGGAACGCACCAGATGCGACGGGCATAGAGACGCGAGCTGCAGATCCGCTCGTGGTACGCTACACACACGCAAGTGGAAAGTGCAATGATCGCAGCCCGCTGCCCCCGCCTAGTTATCCAAGTCATCGCAGGTGTCATCGGCGTTCGCCGCGAGTGCTCGGCCTCGGCCTCCAAGTCTTCACAGGCAACCGTCAGCGCCTTCGCTGGTCACGGAACTCGACCAAGATGTTGAGGGAGGCATGTTCGACGGTGAGCGCCCCATCGTGCGCGTTGCGAGTAGAGCCGCCAGGTGGCGCGAAGCACGGCCGCTCGAGGGAGATGCTAGCGACATTGGTGATCCATCCACCGAGCGTCTGTGTTCAGCCATCCAATCATGTTGGACATCTGTCTCCGGGACATCCAATATTTTGGTTGGGCGGCGAATGAGGTTTTCTGAGCCGAAGCCGTTCTTCTGTCGACGTGGCCTTGTTGCCTGAGTGCGGGCCACGAAACAGCATGCGCGATTGACAGCGACGCGCGCGACTTTCGGGCGCGCCATGCGCTGCGTGGTTGAACAGCCCGGGCACGAAGGTCTACGAGTTACCACGTCTGACTCTGATCCGACGCAGTTTTCGCCGGCGACGCCGGCATCGCACAGACACGGCTCTCGCCACGACGCAGCGATCGGCCGACGGCCAAGGATGATGCCGGATCAGTTGGCGCTCCCTGGCGACGCGGGCGCCGCTGCGCGCATATCCCACCTGTTGCTAGCGCCCCACATTGGATCGGATCGTGGGTGGGCATCGGCCATCTCGCGAACCAACCGCGCCTCAAAGACCCGCGCCATAGTCTTCGCGCCACAGACTACTAGCCAGGGGAGCTCGTCGCCTTCCACCGCGGTCCATCCACCATGGGCGCGAGCGGCCAAATGGACCAGACGCCGTCTGTTACCGCGGCGTCGAGCAGAGGTGCCGCCTTGACGATATGAGATGGTTCATAGAGTCTGTAGGACTAGCCTACTGAATCACTATGCAGACTAGGACACAGCCTGGTCAACCATGGGTGGCATTTGATCTGCATGCCCTGATATTACAAGTGTTTGGCCTTGCCGACGCCCGCGCAGCAAGGGGCGCATACAGTTGTTCCAGTGTCGTGGATAGCCGAGACGGGTCACGCCTGGCATAGTGGGGACCGAGCCTACGCGGGGGGCTGCAGACTGATGGAGCAACGCAGCTGGGCGACTCAGCCTCGTCGAGCTCTGAGGCCCAGATCGCGGCAAGTCGCGCTACCTATGGTTTGCACTTGGGACTATGGCGTCCGCTGCGTTGGAGATGCTTTGGAAGATGCGCATCAAGCGGCGGATATGCGGGGTAGGCAGTGCCAGAGCCGCTGGGGATTGCGCGCACCTCGACGCGTCTGCCAACCTCGACGGCCGACCCTCGACCATCTAGGAAGGGTCTCTGGTGGACTCGTTCGATCGGCGCGCGCCTCGTCGGTTCGACCTGGCGGGCACCCGCGACGACAGAGCAACATGCCATTATGCATGATGTATCTGCGGCAGGCGCACCGAGCTACGACTCCCTCCGAGACCGAACCACACCGCGCCCGCTTCCATTTACCACCAGTCGTCTTGGATTCGGGATTGCAGTTTCGCCGCCACTGCGCAGCGCTCGGTGCTGAACATTTCGCGCAGTGCGCGGCCACCGACGTCGGCGACGCGGACATGCTAATTCAGAGACGACACCCGGCGAGATGCACAAGCAAATTATTTGCCGCCCAGTATCTGACGGCCACTGTGCACGACTGAGGTCAGAGAAGGCTATGAACGACGCGCGCACCCATGGCGACTTCCAGGAGCACGATGCTGCAGTAGCCGCGGTGGCGCTCGAGAATCTCTAAGTCTGGGTAGCACTGCTGATCACGACAACTGCGCCGAGCCAGGAACATCCCTGACGGCAGGTGGGCGGGCGCATTATGATTGACGCGGATGTAAACGAATCTTAGATAGAACACGCGGATCAGTAGCGTTCGGATGGTTTTGCAGAGGTTTCACGGAAAACGACGCCGAGACGCCGACCTCGTCGCCACTCATGCCGGACCGTCTCGCGACACAGCCAGCGGGCGATCGTTTCGAAGGAAGCGCACCGAAGATGGACGATCGACGCGCGGGAGGCCAAGGAAGCTTCGCCAAAGGAGTGAGTTTCGAAGAGCTCGCAGAGGCGCCGGGCGAGGACCAGCGCGAAGTCGACTTGGAGCTATCCGATGATGCCGCGGTTGTTCTTCGCAGAACCAAAGAATGCCAGATCGTCTGGCCATTCGTTAAGGCCACCAGCAGCTCAGACACCACCATGGCGCGCCATCCCCCCTAGCTCCCAAACGACGACATCAAGGTGACTCATCGCCCCTGAAGGAGAATGCTCTGCTGCGCAACCGTTTGGAGGCCGCCTTTGGCGCGGACGGGCGGTGTATCCCAAGGGGCGCTCTGGGACGCGACATTCGCTTGCGAGCGGTGGCGCGTACGAGCTGGATCGGAATGACTACATGCATGCTCTGAAGTAGTCCCATCGGAAGTGTTGGGCTCTTTGGACGAGCCAACTCCGAGCACGCACCCGATGGCTTGGCCTTGCTGGTCCTCAGCCTGTTCGCGGCTTTGACGTGCGCCCTCACTTCCCGAATAGACCGCCATGTCTACGCGGCCGCATTGCAGCGCCATGCGACGGCGGCCGCGCGCGGCTGCATCCGCACATTCCACGCGTTGGTCAGGCGGGCGCAAGCTCACCCCTTTAAGTGTCACGTCCCAGCGATGAGGTGCGCAGCTTTTCTCCCCGTCCAATCCGTCGCGGCGCGTCGCAGCGAACCACCGGGTGGCGCACGTGCAGGTCGCGCCTTACGCGGCGCAGCATTCCGCGCGAGCGGGCGCCACATCTTCACCATCAAGGCAGGTGTCCTTCTCGGGCAGCGTCCCCTGCCATCTTGGGCACGCAGTGTGTTAAGTCGTTGAACAGAAGCACCATCGCGAGTGAGTTTGTGGCGGCGATCTGGTCTGCGGACCAGGGCCTGGTTCTCGCCGCCGCGCTCCGCGAATTGGCCCAAGGGCGGCGAGGTCCACGCGCCGCGCGGCGTCGGCGAGACGGGCCGCAGGCTTCGGCACTTCAGCTCGGGCTTTGCCTGGGCCCCGCGGGCGCCGTCTCCGCTGCGACTACCAAAAGGCCTGAGCCTCCGTCTGAGCACCCACTGCCGCCGCATCTCTTGTGGCTTCGAGACTCCCTGATCGCCGGCCAGTCAATCGGCCTTGAGCTGGGAGGATGCCGGCGACAAAGGGCTGCGTCTACCGCGCAGCATTCCACTCTGTCTCCAGCGGCCGCCGTTGGGCGGGGCCACATTCCACGCGCCGCCGCCCCCGGCGCCGCGGCCAAGCTCGCCGCGCCATCTTGTCACGAGCGCAGGCCCGCCGCAGGAGGGCTAGCGGCCGCTGCGACAGCCGTGCCCAAGTCCTGCCTGGCCAAAATCGGTCTTTTCTTCCTAACTCCCCGCTTGGAGGTCGACTGGCCCACTGCGCGTTTCGCGTTGGCCAGGGCCGGTTCGCCCATTTTACATGCATCGCGTTGTCTCGACTGAGGACTGAGGTGAGTGGCGCGGCAAGCGCAGCATCGGGTTCGTAGTAACGCCATTAAACATGGAAGTGTAGGTGTAGCAGCGCGCGATGCGATGCGCGTGCGACATCCGCTGCAATTTGCACGTTCAGTCCGCAGGCCGCGCGCGGCGTCGACTTTATGCGAGCTGGCCTGCGCCAGCGGCCCTGCGCGCGCGCCCGGGCCAAACGGCCCGCCGCGAGGCCTGCGTTCGCGCCCGGGATGGCAGGGGGCGACGCGCGCGGCCGCGCCCGAGGAGAAGGCGTCCGTTGCGACCCAGCGGCGGGCGCCCCCGTCGTCAGAGGCGAGCGCCAGCTGGTCGCCGCGGCGCAGGAGTTGAGCGCCGGCCGAGAGCGGTCTTCCCAAGCCTGGCATGCTACCCATGATGCCTCTATCACCAGCGACAGAGTTAAAGCACCATCTCACACCACGTCCACCGCCTTCGCATCCACCTCCAAATGCGAAGAATGCCCCCGACGCAGCGGGGCCCGGGCCTCGCCGAGGCGCTGCGCCACCACGGCCGCGAAGACGACGAGGTCCTTCCGCCTCCCGGCGCGCGCCGCCGCCAGCGCAGCCTTTCGGCCATGCGCGTCCGCGGCGGCGCCGCCCCCGGCCCCCGGCGCCGCCTCGGCCGCGGCCATCCCCGCGGCTGGCGCCCCCACGGACGGCCGCGATGAGCAAGTCGAGGGCGCCTGCGCCCCCGCTGGAGGCGTTCGAGGAGGCCTGCGCGCGTTCGGCGGTGGACAAAAAGGCTGCGTTTTATCGCGCAGAGGAAGTGACCGCGTGCTCTCCCTCGCCCGACAAGCTGTTCGATGCCGCCGAGGTCGTCTCGGGCGCCCGCGGCGACCGGCGCGCGGGCAGGCCCCTCCCAGATCGCATCTCGAGGCTCGTGCTTTTCGCCGACCAGCGCGTGGACCTGCATCGACGCGTGGCGCGTGGATCGGAGGCGCACATCGGGAGCGGTCAATGCACCGTCGACCCCGACGCGCGATCCGTGATCGCGAGGTAGATTGGCGGCGCGCTGGATCCGATCACTGGCCCGCGAGCGCCGCCCCGCGCGCCGCTCGCGCCAGACGCTCGCGGCCGAGCCTTCCCAGCCCTGCGCCGGCGAGGATCCCCGGCTGGCCCCGGGCGCCCAGGCCGAGGGGCGCCGACCGCGCTCGGTCGCCCGAGCCCGCGCTCAGGCCGCCCCGGCCAGCTGTCGCAGAATTAGGGGCAAAGCCTCCGCGTCCTGGGTCCACCACCAGGGTTCGCTGCGCCGCCGCCTGGATACCAGAGGGCGTCGACGCGCGCCCGCGCCAGCGCCCCGACGACCGCGGCGCCGCGAGCTGTCGCCGCTGCCCAGTTTCGGGCGCGCCTCGGGGCCCCCGGCGCCCATCGGCAGCTTCGGCCAGGCACGGCGCCAGCAGTCCAAGCGCGGCCAGAAAGGCGACGAGGGCAGAAAGGGCAGCCATGACAAGGAGAAGGGCGAGCAGACGGAGGATCCCGCGGCCGAGCCCGCGAGAGATCCCAAGAAAACCCGCCGCGGTGGTCTCGATGGCAAGGTGACGCGGGGCCCGAAAAGCGCAGCCGCGCGCCAGAACGAGGACGCAGCGGCCGACGACGCGGGCTGGGGAGGCGCCCGGGCTCGGGACAGTTTTGGCATTCCCTCTCTGTCCCTCTCGCTCTCTCTCTCTCTCTCTCTCTCTCTCTTTCTCTCTCTCTCTCTCTCTCTCTCTTTCGGTTCCTTTGCGCCGCCAGAGCTGTTCGGTCGCCCGCACAAGCCCGACTCGAATCGGATGCTTTGCTGCCACCTGGGCCCCAGCACGGGGGCGCATGCATCTGATCTGGTACGATATGGTCCGATGTAGCGCCGCCGCGGCTTCTTACGAGCCGCCACCACCCGCAATTCCAGATCGTCCTCCTCGCTCCTCGCTCCTGTTCCTCGTTCTCCTCGGTCCTCGTTCCTCCTGTTTCCTCCTTCGTCCTCATCACCCGCGTCCTCGTCGCCCCTCGTTCCTCCTTCTTCCTCCTCGCACTTATGGCTCATCTGGTTAGGGGGAAGGGCACAGCTGGACCTAAACGGTGTTTTTTTCGATTTCGTGGGCCGTTTTCGTTTCGATTTCGCCTTGCGGGAAAAAAGCGGATTCGAGACAAAAGCGATGGAATCCGAAAAGAAAACGAAACGAAAAAAACGTTTAGGTCAAGCCCTGGGGAATTGCAGTCGTCCAAGTTTTGGCAGTGCGTGGGCCGTTCCACGGGGAGCGCTCCAGAAATAGCCCCCCGCCTTCGGCGCGTCCCGCCACGGTGGGATCGGGGGCGTTCGTCCCAGGGCGGCTGGAGGGTCCATCCGGGCTCGGGCCAAACGTTGGTTTGGCGATCTCGAGGTCTGTTTTGCTCGTTTTTTGGGCGACGTCTTGTGCAGGGAAAAATCGAAAGGAAACGATAATTAGCAGCACGAACACGGAAAACAATGTTTAGGTCGAGCCCGATAGTGCAAGACCCCCACCTGCCACCGTAGGGGCAACCGGCTTGGGACAGACGCGCCCGACGGCGGAGAAGTTTCTGTTATACCGTTTCTCGCCCGCGCACTCGCGGGGAAGGCCGTTTTGGCTCGTCGGCGCGGCTGGGCCGTCGTCGGCATGGTCAGGTCCCCCCCCTCTTTCCATTCCTCGCTCGCCGTTCATACGAGCTCGTCCGACGTTTCCAACACATGTTGGGTGGTGCTCGGGTCCCAGAACGTGCTTCATTACAGCGGAGGCCAGTCCACAAGAAACCTCCCACAAGAAATTGAACCCTGAGACCCCAGGAAGTTTATTGGTTTTTGGTGTGGGAACGTCACGTCTTCCATTTCAAACACATCGGAACCCAAGAAACCCAGAGCACCCTGGAGGCAAGCTGGGTGTTTCTTGGCATAGTTCTCCATTGTAGCTGCGTCTTTCTGGGGGGGACCAGAATCGCCTCGGAGCGGCCGCCGGAGGCTAGCAGGGCCCTCGGCGAGCTCCCAAAAGAGCCGCGAGAGTGGCCCAAGTGGGCCCCCAGGGGGGGATATAACCAACGCCTCGAGGTACATACGCCACCCCCCTGAGATCCTTCAGCTAAGCGATCTGGCCCCAGGAGCGTCTCCACGGCGAGGATTACTGAACTCATGGGTTCCGGTATGCCAGGACACCGAAATCCAGCAGCTCAGTCATCCTCGCCTCCCCAGTCGCTATGGAGACGCTCAAGGGCCAGATCGCTCCACTGAAGCATCTCAGGGTGCGTAGCTGGGGCCCTCCGGGAACCTTCAAGGAGCCCCCTCGGGGCCCCATCGCGGCCCAATCGGGGCCTCGTGGGCCCGATCCAGGCACCGAGAGTTGACCTTCGTGCGCCGTGAGCGGAAGCGGGCGGGGAGGAGGAGGGAGGAGGGAGGAGGGAGGAGGGGGGAGGAGGAGGAGGAGGAGGAGGAGGAGGAGGAGGAGGAGGAGGAGGAGGAGGAGGAGGAGGAGGAGGTCACCAGGTGTGCCCCCCCTTCCTCCCCGGACCCCTCGCGTCTCGGGCCAGTCTAGAGGCTCGTCTGGGGGACTCTCTCCTGGGGCCCACCTCACAACTCAATTCGACTCTGGCTCGACCCCAGTTCGACTGAAGCTCGACTCAGGTTCGACTCGGGTTCGACTCGAGGTCCACTCGAATCGACGGACTTTCGACGCAGCTTCGACGCACGAGTGGAGCGAGTGGCTCCAGGAAGGTCCCCAGGACGAGCAGCCAAACACGTTATACAAAACATGAACATCAAGTTCTGGAGGCCCCAGCGGGTTTCCTGGGATGGCGATGGGCCCCCGGTCTTCGCTCCTGAGGTGCCGCCAGGGGGGTCAGCGGCGATCCTCCGAAATTCTATGACCATAGTGTGTTTAATTGTTCTAGCTCAGTGGCAGCAAGTATCCACATAAAGTGTTTGGCCGTTGTCTGTCCTCCGTTCTTCGTCTCCCCCTCCCTCCCCCTCTCGTGCTCCCCACCTTCTCCACTCCCCCTTCTCCATTTGCATCGCCCTCATTCTCCACGCTCTCTTCCTCCATCCTTCCCCTCCTAAGTCCACCATCCCCTCTCCCTCCCTTGCTCCTCCCTTCCTCCTCCCTTCCTCCTCCCTTCCTCATTATTGCTCCGCCTTCTCAACCGTGTCCGATTCCTCCACCCCCCCGACCCCCCCGCCCTCCTCCTTCGAGGATTCCACCTCCTTGTCGTCTTCTTTCCGATTATTCTTTCCTCGTCTTCCACCCTCCCTCCTTCCTCTTCATCATCCTGCCCTGTCTGTCCCACCCCCCTTCCGCTCACCTTCCTCCTCGCTTCATCCCGTCTGTCGTCTCTTCCATTTTTTGCCTTTCTTCCTCCGCCCTCCTCCTTTCCTCTCTCCCCCGATTACGTCCTGAAATTGTCCCGCCCTCTGCGTGCAGTTTTACACATGGTGTCAGCAAATGCGCTGTCTTTTTTTTGCGCGTTGACAGTCGGAGCGTCACCGGCGTTTCACAATGGCGTTCCCGCTGCAGCGTGGGCCTCATTTTAGGATCGGCGTTTTGCTCCTGTCGTTCAGAGTGATTCTCTCGCTCCAGCGCGGAGAACTGTTCAGGATCCGAGGCGTTCCTTACCGTTGTCACCTCGCACTTCCCGCAATTCCTGCCCTCCGCTGGTCATCCTGCTCTCGCCGCTCCTCCCACACCTGCTCCTGCGTCTGTCGCTCTTCCTAGTCCTCATCCTCGTCCTCCTCCTGCTCATCCTCTCGCTCGCCCGCAAACTCCTCCATTGTACGCAGCTCATCTGTTCTGATGGCGCAGAGCGCATAAGGTGATGGGGTTCTTTGGGGGTCACAGGTTTGCCATGACAACAGTCGGTGGATAGAGGTAACATCAGCACAATGGGAATGGAAGGGTGGGATGGACAGGGTGTTGCCAGATAGGGGGTGCGAGCGCACACAGCGTGTCATCCGTCGCTACCCGCACCCCACATTTATAGACATCACGAAGCCACATGCGGCAATTGCTGCCCTCTTCGTGATCATTCCTACCCCCTGCTCCTCTCGCACCCAATCGCTATCCATTCTCGTCCTCGAGTTGTTCTCGCTCCCCTCTGTTCCTTCGCCGTTTCAAGCGACACGAAGCCAGCTTCCCCTCGCTCCTGAAGCCGGGGAGGCGAGCGGGGGGAAGCAGCGATACCAAGCGAGCGATCGAATCCAGCTTCCCCTCGCTCCTGAGGCCGTCCAGAAGATCTCCCGCCCCCTTCCGCGTGTTGGCTCTCACACGAGAGCTGAACAGTTGGTGTGATGTCGTATTCCCAAGGGCTCCCTCGAGGGCGCGAAGTTATTCGCGCTTCGCGCTTCGCGGTCCTCGTTCCTCCTCCCCCTCCTCCTCGTCCTCCTCTTCTCCCTTTGGGGGGGCGGCGCGAGAGCGCGAAGTTATTCGCGCTTCGCGGAGCGCGAAGCGCGAAGTTGGGAGCCCTAGTTGTTCTTGGTGGTTTGCATTGGTGTTCCAGCTGCTGCGTGGTCCCATCCACTTTCGGGCCGGCCTCGCCGTTCAGAAAAGGCCTCCTCGCCCCGACGGCGGGCCGCGTTCCTGGATCTGGGTCCTGCTTCGCTGGGGTGCCCCCCCCCCACCATCTCACACCTTCCACCTTCTCCCTGGTCCTTCTGCTCCTCCCGCTCCTTCACTCCAGTTCCCGCTGCTACTGTTCGTCGCGCCCCAGCGCGGGCCACGTCTCTGAGTCCGAGTGTTCATTCATGGTGGTCGCCAACCTCATTTCCCCTCCTCCGCCTCCCCCTGGTCCTCCATTCCCTTTCCGATCCTTCCTGTTGTTGCCATTTGTCCTCGTCGTGCTCCTCCCGCTCATCCTCCTGCTCCCACGCCACCTCCTCCTCCTCCTGTGCCCGCAGCTCCCCTTTGCCCGACTGCGCATAACATGACGTGGTCTTCCTCGCAGCTCACTCACAGACGAGATCTCAGCTCGAGACCTTCTGCAGATTCAGGCCTCGGGTGCCAAGACGTGACGACCGTGCAGAATCCGTACGACACGCTCGGATTACTAAGATGACGAGGGGGTCCCTCATGGGAGGGAGCTCAAGCTCGAGACTTCCTCACGAGTCCATCACAGACGGGGTTCCCACTTGAGACTTCCTCCAGATGAAGGGCCTGGAGTTGCGACGTGACGATGGTTACAGGGTGTGTTTGACCAGCTCGGATTGCTAACATGACGTGCGGGCCCGCTATGGAGGGAACACCCACTGGAGACTTCTGCGCAAGTCACTTCAACACGAGGTTCCCTCTTGAGGCTTCGTCAGGAAGCGTGTGTCAATGAGGGTGTGAATGTGTATGCGAGGGTGAAGAAACCGTTAATGATGATGATGATTATGATGATGATGATGATGATGATGATGATGATGATGGTGGTGACGATTCTGATGATGATGATGCTGGTAGTGGTGATGGTGCTGATGCTGGTGCTGATGATGATGCTGATGCTGATGATGATCATGCTGATGATGCTGCTGCTGATGATGATGATGATGATGATGATGATGATGATGATGATGATGATGATGATGCGGAGGAGGAGGAGGAGGAGGAGGAGGAGGAGGAGGAGGAGGAAGAGGATACCGTCGGGGCGCTGAAGCAGGGACCCTTTGCGTCGGGGAGGAGCTCCGTGTTCCCTCAGTCGTGTCTCAGCTCGCCTTCGGTGTCCCTTAGGTGTTCGATGGGAGAATCGAAGTCCAACTTCTGGAAAAAGGGGGCCTTGTTCCTTATTTAGGGTTCCTCAGGTCAACTCCCCGTCTGCACGGAAGGATGGCAACAAGGAGGACCAGCGGCAGCAGGAGCAGGGGCGGGAGGAGCGGGAAGAGCAGGATCACCAGGGAAACGACTTGGGCGACAACAAGGAGGACACACACACACACACACACAGCGATCCAGAAAAGCTGCCCGCACTGGAGCAAGAACGCCGAGCAACGGGAGCAACACGCCGATCCTAAATTGAGGCCCATGGTGCAGCGGGAGCGCCACGGTGAAAAGCCGGAAACGCTCTAATGGAAAAAGACAAACACAACACATAATGGTGCGACATTTTGTTAGTGGAAAGTTGTATGTATCGTGCGGAAGTTTGTCAGAACTTATTCGGAGTAGATCGGGGAGCAGTGCGTATTTGTAGTGAGTACTTGTAGAGAGCGGGAGGGACGGGAAGGGATGGAAGAAGGGGAACGGGGAGGACATGTCTTCCCAACGTCGTGGAAAGTCACGTGGAGAAGCAAGCATGGATTGAGGCGCGTGGATTCGCGTCGGTTTCCGTTTCCACGCTGAATCGACGCGTTCCTCTGCTAAGTGAGGTGGATTTGGCCTCATGTTTTGGGTTTCCCCCCCCGGTCGGTGAATCTGGCGCCCTCGCGCCCGATCCACGGATCCGTGATTCGTGTCAGCGTGTGCCAGTTTTCTCCACCCCCTCATGACAGGGATCGTCGTGAACATCCCGAAAGAGTGCGCTCTGCGGGAAGTCGCGGCCTGGAGTGTCTGGGTCGTCCTGTCCCCCCGTCGTCGCCCCACCTCCGTCCTCGGCCCGATTGTCCCTCGTGCCCCGCCGGATGCTTTTCCTCGTATGGTGTGATGGGCATGTTTTCTTCCACCACCACCATAGTTGGAGTGGGAGGGGGCCCTCCTCGTTCCTCCTCCTCCTCCTCCTCCTCCTCCTCCTCCTCCTCCTTCTCCTCCTCCTCATCCTCCACCTCCTTCCCCCCTCCAACTTATGATGGTGGTAGTGGAAAACAGGCCCACCATGGTGTTAGCATCGGCAGTACCGACAATTCTTTGGGATTTGTGACCGCGTCGTAAAGCAGCGAGCCATCCCAATGTTGTCGGGACGCCACCGTTACCGCCACTTCATGCTGAGCTCGGTCCAGTTGAGGCATGCATTTTCAGTATAGGTGCGATGTGTCGCTTACCATTGGCATCTTTGATTGTTCTGTACCTAGTCGCAGGCCGTGGCAACCCTCCGTACGAGCTTCCGAACGATGGAGCGTTGGATTTTGATCTCACAGCCTGGACCAGGTGGGGGCACGTCGGACAATTTGCACCTGTTCCCGTTCGGTTCCGTTCCTTGCTGAAGAGGGGGGGAGGAGCATGAGGGAGGGGGTGGGAGAGAGGAGGAGTGTGGGGGACAGGGGGGGGAAAGAGGAGGACGCGGGTGGTTGGCCACTGGCCTTTTCTTCTCGTCGATCGGAGGCACCGAAGGAGGAAGAGGAAGAGGTGAGGGAGGGCGAGGAGGCGAGGAGGAGGAGGAGGAGGAGGAGCGCACAGAGGAGGATCTGTTGAGAATCCCCGAGCGCAGGCGCGGGGTCTTTCGCCTGATATTTCCCGTCGTTGTAGTTCGTGTCGTTGCGTGTCATTGGGAAGCGTCGTCGAACGTGTTACCGTGCGTATCGGATTCAGCGCGGGCCATCCTCGACCTACGCTCAAGGCACTTGGGGGTCAGGAGTGGCTCTGGTTTTCTGCCGTTCCTTGGCTCTGGTTTTCGGCTGTTCTGGAGGTCGGAGAGCCTATGGGTGGCAGAGGGTGGCCGAGGCCAGGCAAAAACAGCCTTCGTTCCTTATGCGGCGTTCCTGATGGTATGACAATGGCTGGCCAGCTCTCGAGTGTGGCACTTGCGCGGGTCCGTATCGAACACATGCTTCTGGCGTTGGTCACCGCGCGAGACGGTGTCGCGTCTCTGCCCGCAACTGTGGCTCCTGCGGCCTCTAACTCTTGCTCGATCGCCGTGTAACGTCTGTTTCTCCTGGTGACGGCCCTTGCGTCGAGCCGCCCTCAAGTCTTGGTTTCTGGCTGCAGGCCTCGCCTGAGGCACCCTCGAAGGCCTGCTCCTGACCATGCCACTCGTGCGAGGCATCTTCGAATCCCACGTCCGCGCGACAGCTCGCGCCCGAGGCACGCTCTGGCGCCCGCTGCTCGCTGCGCCGCCGCCGCAGAGGCTCCCCCGCGCGAGGCATCCCCGAGCTCGCCACGCACCGCCCATCCGCGAGTCCCGGCTCGCGATTGCGTTGTTCCCCGCGCGGGGCAGCCTCGAGCCCTCATTCTCGGCTGCCGCCGCTGCCGTGCGAGTCATCCATGGCAATTTGGTCCTGCAGTCTGATTCGATACTCCAGATTTCGTAATAAAAGGGAGGGGGTCTGGACCCTCCAAGACAAGCCATTTCAGACCTCCCCCGTGGGAGAACCCTCCAAAACATCGTCCCCAGACCCCCCAGGCCCTCCAAGATAGCCTGGAAGAGACCCCCCCAGAAATGAGACCCCCCTCCCTTTATTACGAAATCTGGAGTATCGGTCTCGGCTGGCCCGCTCCGAACCGATTCCCGTTTGCCAGTTGTCCAATGTGGTTCGATCTTGATACGGCGGCGGTGCACCTTGGCGTGGCCGAGCCCAGTCGATTCAGATTCCGACGCACATTCCGACTCGATGGTCATTGGGCGACCATTTGCCCCGCACGACGCAGGGTCACGGGTACATTTGCCCCGCACGACGCAGAGATTGATTCCGACGCACGAGATGTTTTTTCCGATTCGATGATTCCTGGACGCGGCAGGCCTCTCGGGCCTGTTGGGTACTCGGAGGCCAGTGTTTGGTCTGGTCCGGAGGCCGCCAGAAGGACCGAGGCGGCGTGATAGCGGGGGTGTCCTGGAGGGGACGAGGGCTAGGGAGATATGCATATCATGGCCGGGGTCCGGAGTCGGGAACTGGAACATGTAGTTCATGTTCAAGTGGCGGGCTGTTCTGCAATCCCTGGACTTTTGAGGGTCGGGGGCGACGTCGGGGTGGTGTGGTGTATACTTGTTTCCCCGTTCTCCTGGGAAGACAACGAAACATGTATACACCAGGGTCCCGTAACACCATAATCCGCTTCCTGTGCGAGTTCCAGCGCGGGGCCGGAGAAAGTGTCGGTGTATAGAGTTCGGCTCTTTGACTTAGGCTCCCCGACTTCATGGCCCTGAAGCTCGACTTAGGCTCCCCGACTTCTTTGACTTTACTTCGGATGTATTGTGTTAGGAGGGTAAATTCAGCATCAGCGCTGGTATGTGCGCGGTGGACAACCAGTATGATGCCGTTCAGTGTGGTCGAATCTTGTTTCCGTGGGTTGAAGTCGTCGTTCAAGCCAGCCTAATCTGGCTCAATGGCCGTTCATCGGGCAAATCGTCCCTGCGAAGACCTCCCAGGAGTTGCCTCCCGTGTTGGGAAGGGCGACTCGTGCTCATCGCGGCCGGGCACAGTGCAGGGGGCCTGCCGTTCCGCCCTGCTATTCCCCCGTCGCCCCGCTGGCAGGCCTCGGGGACGACGATGCCCGAGGTGAAGGCGGCATCATTATCGAGGAGTCACTGTTTCTTCCTGCCCCATTGCTCGGAGGAAGGAGGGGCGACACCGCCACCTCCAGCGAAGGGGGGCCACGATGCGTCTGCGAGCTGGAGGTGTCTCGATCGGGAGGGCGGGTTGGTGTGTGTCTGTGTTGGGGGGGGGCACACCGCCAGGGAGGGGCCCGCTGGTGGTGTTGGTGTCGCCATTCCTTTTTCCTAGCTCCTCATCCTCCTCCTCCTCTTCCTCCTCCCGCTCCTCTCCCCGTCCCCCTCCTCGCCCCCTCCCCGTCCCTCCCCTCATCCTCTTGCCTTCACCCTCCTATCCCCCTTCCCCTGCATCCCTACTCGCGGCCTCCCATGCTGTCTCCGGTTGGTTTGCTCGCCTGGGCCACTGCTGACACGCAGGCGCTCTGGCGCCGCCTCCGCTGCGCACCCATGGCGCCACGTGCGCGGAGCCGGTTGCCAGTTGTCTTCCAGGGCTGGACCTAAACGGTGTTGCTGGCGATTTCTCTGGCCGTTTTCGTTTCGATTTCGTTTTGCGGTAAAGGCGGATTCGAGACAAAAGCGAGTGAAGACGAAAACAAAAGGAAAACGAAAAACACCGTTTAGGTTCAGCCCTGTTGTCTTCCCGCCCCCTTCGCATCGTATCGTATCCGACGCCGCCGCTCTGACCCGCAGGGCCGTGGTGCTTGAATGCATCAACAACGCAAGTGGAGACCCACATGCTATATCGAGCAACCACGTTGCGCAGCAGAACTCTCCCCTTGGTTATTCTTATCCTCATGCAGGCCTCCTCCCGCCTGCCCATTGCCACCCCCAGAGTGCTCCCGTCAGCGTTTCCCATTTCGGTTGCCTGGCCTCGTGCTGCACCATGACAGCCGCCTGTGTGTTGGCACAGAGCTGAACACGTGTCAAAGCCCACCTCTCGCACATCAGCAGTGACAGTAGCAGCCCTGATTCGATGCACACATGCCTATGTTTCCCCCTCCTCCCTCTCCTCAGCCTCGATCTCTGTCTCGTCATCGTCCTCATCTATCCGTGTTCTCCTCCGTCTCCGTCCAGCCGCCCCGCCTGGCAGCAGCGAATTCTTCCTACGACAGCGGGAGACCCCCAGAGGACTGGAAGCCTCCGGAGGCCTCTGCAGGGCCATCAGGAGACCCAACATTTTCGAAGAATCGAAAAAACAAAAACGGCATACACATAATGTTTTGGCGCTCCGCTCGGACAATGTATGCAGAAATCGCGCTGTCGCTTGGGGCTTCCTCGCCATGTATTTTGATTCCGCGCCCTCGGCACTCAGGAGTCCCGCTGTCGCTGTGGATGTCATCACGTTTTTTTGGGGAGGGGGGAATCGCGCTATCGCTCGAGATGTATTCGCGATTCATGCAGGAGGCATGCTTCAGCAACCCGCCTGCTCGACCTGGCCGCCTGGGCCCGCCTGCCCGACCCGCCCGTTAGGGTTTACCCGCCCGATCTGCCCGTCTGGTTCTGCCACGTGTCGTCTCTTCCTAGCGCCCCCCTCCCGCTTCTCTTCCTTGCTCCATGCTCCTCCCTCCCCCTTGGCCCTTCCGTCCATTCGTCCTCTCCTCCCCTGCCGTAGGGGCTGCACGAAATACACGTTGCAGGTAAGAGATGTAGATCGCCAAGGGGGTACGATCGAAGACGACGAGGGCGGGTATCTAGGATTCGGGATATACGTTTCGAGTGGCCCCCGAGCAGCTTAGAGCGAACCGTCTGAAACATATTGCTGTTGTTGTTGTTGTTGTTGGTGGTGGTGTTGTTGTTGGAAGAGGCGCGCGTGGGAGCCCCGGCCGCCCCCCCCCCCCAGCAACCGAGCAACCCTCTGGGGGTCTCCTGGGGGCGCCACGGATTCCCGAATATGATTTCCTAGGAGTTCATAGGAATTCGATGGGCCTCCATAGGAGTTCTATAGGCCTCCATAGGAATTTTATATAAGCCCCGATCGGAATTTTATTGGCCTCCATAAGAACGCTATAGGCCTCCATAGGAATTCTATAGGCCTCCATAGGAATTCTATAGGTCTCCATAGGAATTCTAGACGCCTCCATAGGAATCCTAGAGGCATCCATAGGAATTTTATATCGGTCCCCATAAGAATTCTATTGGCCTCCATACGAATCCCATAGGCCCCCATAGGAATTCTATAGGC